GAGGGTATCATAATAGGGACAATCAAGAGGGAGAGCTATCTATATTGAACCATACATTTGCCAAACTCCGACAAAGTGTGTTCAATAAGATATAAAAAGGGAAGTGCTGTGTAACTTAATACAAGGGAAGTGTAGTTTGTTGTCATATATAAAACTGACAAAATTTGGACACTTTTCAGTCATACCTTTTGATATTTTAAATCAATATAATATATAATATTATTATATTAGTTAATTAAATATCAAGTTTTAGTATAAAAACAGCAATATAAAATATTGTTTAAAAAGCTTACGTTAACTTCTAGACAAAAATGAAATGGTGTTCCTCCCGACCTCTTATGGCACTTCTTACATATTTACACTAAACCGCAAATTCTTGATCAATGAATTCAAAGTAAATCAAACATAAATTCAATTACCCGTAATTATTGACACAAAATGTAACAAACAATAAAATCATACAACAAATAAATTTATATTTAAAAATCTGTATTTTAATGCATAAAAACTTTTTCCATAACAAAATGTTTTTTGTCGAAACAAACGCAAGAAATTTTAAAATTCAATTTATGTTTAAAATTTAGCGACAAAATAATCTAAGCTTATAATAAATTATAAATAATGCAAAATCGTCTCCACGTTTTAGAAAATAAAGCCTTAATTACTAAAATTCAGTATAAATTTAATTAATAGTATAATTTGTAAAAAACGTTACAAACAATACAATACGAGTGGTTTTAGTGAGAAAATTGCGGTTACGCTATAATTGGCTTAAATTGCAATTGAGGGGCATTTGTTATATAATTGTTACTAAAAACATATCAATATATCATATAATATATGAAAAAAGCTTTCACTCTATTTAACAAATAAGAGACACAAAAGAAACTGATTTGAAAAATTATTATTAAAATAATAATTCATATAATTGTCTATCAATTAATAGAGGAGTCATTAGACACATCGGCCGACACTTTCGGCATTTTAGGCCACTCTCTGTCCAACACTTTAATCAACGCCTCATTCAGTTGCTCTTTGTTGGACTCAACGAAAGCGCTGAACTGACGCAACTGTGTCTGAAGGGTGGGGTGGATGTCATCCGATAACCTGACGGCGCGCTTCAACGACTGCAACATAAGCATCACTTTATTCTTGCGGAAATAGATCTCAAACGCGAGTAAATGCGTGTCCAGTCGGTTGGCGGCCAACATCTGGAGGGGCGTCAAGAACTTGATGGCTTCGTCGAGGGGATGGTCGGGTCGCTCCAACTTAGACACGTCCAGCTTCTCCTGATGGAGTTCCCCACTGTTCTCATTGTTCTTATCGTTCTGTTGGCCCTTATTGTCGCCATCGGTGCCCTTCTCGGCCGTCGCCCGCAGTTTCGCCTTTCGCTGTTTGTTCCGCAACTTCTTCAGCTCCGACGCCGACATATTCGCCACATTCTTGTCCTCCACGTCCTCCTCGTCGCCCAACGGCTTGTCGTGCAGTCTTAGGTACACTTCGATGGCTATCCGGGCGGCCCGGAAGTAGAAGGCGTGCGACTTCAGGACATCTTCGAGTCTCAGGAGCTCTATGTAGGAGCGAAGTGTCATTTTGCGCATACAGTACGTGTGGAAATCAAACTGATCCTCATTTATCTCAGCGAAGTGTCGGTCGATTTCGACGCACTTCTTGAGCGCCTCCCCAAACTTCTCCTGGCGCTGGTAGGCGATGGCGCTCTCGGTCTGGAACCACATGCACTGCATCTCATTGAGGTTCTCGGAGGCGGACACACCCTCGCGCGTGAACTTCGCGCACATCTCCTCCGCTTCGGTCACTTTGTTGGCTCTCAACAAATACTTCGCACACTTCGAGTTCAAGTAGCGGTCGGCGGTGTCCAGGCTCTGGGCCTCGTCCACGTACTTCACAGCCTCCGAGATGTCACCCGAATGCCGGTATATCTTCGCTTTGATCACAAACAGCTCTATAAGGGTAGGCGTGTGGTCGAGCGCTATGTTCACGTACTTGAGCGCCTGTGTGTAGTCCGAGAGATAGTCGTAGTGTTGAGCTAAATAGTAGTACACCCATAGGAGGCAAGTGGTGGCCTCTGACCCCCACGAGGACTCCGTTGAGTCGAAACTGTCGAAATTGATGAGATTTTGGACGTAACTCAGCATCAAGTCCTCAATTATTTCAATCTTTTTGGGCAAACGTTTGCTATTAATAAGCGATTTATTGGATTTGTCTCTGAATTCGTTGTTATAGAGGTTTTTGATGTCTTTGAAGAGCGCCGGCTGTCCTTTGCGTAGGCTTTTACGCAAATACATGTCAACCATCTCTTTGAACAGATCCGGGTTCGTGACGAAGTTCAGCGGCAGTCTGTACGGCATCTGAGCCCTGGGGTACTGGCGCTGGAAGTCGAGGTAGAGTTTGAGGCGTTCGGTCTCCTGTTCGGGACTGAGGCTGAGGGCCCTCTCCAGCAGCTGATAGTAGTTGGCGTTCTCGGGGTTGCGGCCAATCAACTGGTCTTTGATGACTTTCTTGGCCTCTTTTACTTTGCCTACGTTTACCATTAATTCACTTTTGTATTCACTGATCGCTAGTTTATCACATATTTCCGACTCGTTTCGCTCCAAATAAGTCAACGCTTCCGAGTAGTTCCGAGCCTCCTTCAGGATCATCACCTGATATAACAACAGCTCCGACTGCTCGTAGTTCTCACCGGCCAGTCGTGTCTGAGCGCCGGTAGC